AATTTACTCCTTATTTGTAAATAATGCTCCTCGTTGTTACTTTTTCTGTGCTAATTTTTTGTATATACTACCTAATTTGTGCTGTGGAAAACTAGTTTTGGCTAACAGCCATGTCACTCTGAACATATCCAACCTCATTTTGGTCTCAGAAGCTAAGTAGGGTCTGGCCTGGTTAGTTGGAAGGGAGAAAGCTAGTTTTCTTTAAACCCTCATGTTACTCTAATTCTCTTACTAATAATTAACAGTTACTGAGTACCTATCATGTGCCAGATAGCATTGTAAGCATTTGATGTACATCGATTCATTTAGTCCTTACAAGAAATTCATGAGACCTTATATTACAGTCTTTACTGTGTTGAAATACTCGCACAAATTTCACAGACAGAAAAGTTATTGTGCTGTTCTGGTGTGGACAATAATTTTTAACAAATTTATTTAAATCATTAAAGTGTATAATAATTGAGACTAGAAAAATGCCATGAACTGCAGAACCAGTACAGATGCACAACTTAATTTTCTCTTCCATAAGGTTTTCATAGTTTTAGTCTTCCTTACCTTTGCAAAGTCATCCTTTTAAAAATTCTCATTTTTTAAAATTTTTTTTATTTAAGAGAAAAAGGACACAGAAGATAAAAACAAAAGTAAAAGAAGCAAACAAACAACAAAGAAAAACAATAACACTATATGAGGCAGACTGTAGATGCTTTGGTGACTAACAATGTCTTCAGTCTATCCTTGCATTTAATCATTACTTTGGATGTAGATTTCAAGGATAAAACTAACTTCTACTCTAGGGTTTTGGTGTGTTTTTCCATTGTGTCCCAGCAGTCATGTGCAAGAGATGCCTGATGCCACACTGAATTTTATTTTTCTTCTATGAGGACAATTGGATTCTTCTTTATAAATTTTAAGCCAGGCCAAAATGGTGTAGATACTTGTTATTAAGCTAAGGCCAAACTGACCTAGATATTTATTATTAAGAAAGAAGGGCAAAGTGTAACACAAAAGTACAGAGATGAGAATTAGCAAAGAGATCCTGGAACGGCTGATCATCTCTACATGCCAGCTCTTGCACTTAGCAACTTGAGTGTGTGATTCCGGTTACAGAGCTAAGGGTTTTTTCACTTCTAGCCTGCAATAAGGATGTTGACACCCACCTCCTGAGATTGCTGGGAGGAAGAAATTAGATATTATAAAAGTTATTTGAGAAACAATTTTGATCGCTAGAGGCTAGTCGACTTTCTGTTACGTGGCAAAATGACTGAGATAATCATCTTATATGGCGGGCGTGTTTACTTTCTCTAATGTTTTCAGAGTTTCCAGGACATGGTTGCTTGGCCTTGTTGCTTTGGTTCTGTGGTGGATTCATGCATCATGGCAGGAGCACTTGGTGGGAAATGCCTGTTCATGTCATGGAGGTAGAGAAGCAAAAAGAGGGACAGAAAGGGCTGTAACTCCAATATGTCCTTTAAGCCCACATCTCCATTCACCTAGATTCCTTCACTGGATGCATCTCATACAGATTCTGCCACCTCTCCTTCTGAAAACCGAAAGCCAAGCTTTCGGCATACGGGACTTGGGGGTCATTCCAGATCCAAATTGTAGCAGTAGGGAAAATTCCTTCAAAGGAGAAAGTTCACTCTTTTCTAATATCAAAATGATATGCTAAGCTTTTAAATAAATAGATTTGAGAAAGAGGGATGAATAGGGTGCTCAGACAGCATGAGGAAGATAAATGCTACTTTTCATAATAAAGGGAAGTAGAAATGATTAATCCTAAGAAACAGAAGTTGCAGAAAAAAAATTATCAATGAGCTAGATAAAATGCCGCTGGAAAACTAATCAACCAAGACCCCCCCCCTTCATTACTGCTTTAATTGAGCTAAAAAATGTCAACATTTTTACATGTGATATGAGATATAAGTCCCTTCTGATATCCTTTATGTGAAATCATACTTTCATTCTGTATTTTTCAGCAAATTTTCTGTGTAATTGGCTGGTTACTGAGGGCAACTCAAAGAGGTGGATGAGTAATGCATGCAAAGCACTTAGCTTAAAATCTCTGTTCACAGCAAGACCCATATACATTTTGCTTATATTTGGTTTAAAAAATCTGTTTAAATTTAAAAGTAAAAATAGAGCCTACTTATTTTTTCCATCAACAATTGTACAAAATTTTTACCTTCATAATTTTAAATGTGGCCAAACTTAATTTGAAATTGGAAGTCAGAGACAGCCATGGGCTTTGAAAAGTAACTTGCCTTTCTTTTTCAAAGACTTACTTTTCAAAAAATAGGTAGTTGGAGAATGAACAGTTTTGACTGAGAACATCATTCTATTTATAACAATTTATTTGTTGCACTGTGAAACAGTGCTCTCCTCCCTTCCTGTAATGGTTCTAGCTTCATCCTTAATAAAGTCATCGCATGAGATGATGCGTATGAAGAGGCTGGAATGCATATCAGACATCTTGTGAGTGCTAGCTTCCTCGATTTAATCTCTCCTGCCCAAAAGGAAAATATAGCCAACTTTGCTTCTCATCTTTATAAGCAACAGAGATAGAGAATTTGTACTTCTACATAAAGATAAACATTTTTTTAGGTACTTGTGATCATAAGAATGATTAAAGAAATGAGAAGATGGGTTCCAGACAACTGTGAACATAGGAGTAGCTGTTATACACCTTGAAGACTGAAAACTTCTCAATTGGAAGCTTCAAAACCTTGCATCATAACATAAATTGTGGGTCCTGCTGTGTCAACAGCTCGGAATGAGACAATGTGCTTCATTTAAAGGAGCAAGGGTATATGATCCCCTGCAAAAGAAGGGGTCACATGAGCAAAGAAAATCTAAATACCTAAAAACAGTGCGTGAAGAATATAAAAATCCCATAGATAACAATTATATACTTCAGCTGTAGTTTTTGTCATAAATTGATACTCATTCTAGGTATGTGAATACAAAAATTTTGTTCCAAAGTCTGAACAACAGCTTATCTATCTAACAAATTATGTAATTTTCCAAAATATGCTGATACTTTTGCACATACTAAAGGATTTAGTTCAGCAACTGTGAATCAGAAGTCTGTCATTTTTTATGCTGCTTCATTCGAATCTAAGTTATTGTGTAATATGTGATAACCTTTTCCCCAGGTACTCATTTTAAAATGACATTGTTTAGTAAAATGATTCATTCTCATTTTCAGCACTAAAATGTATAATGCATTTTGGATTAGCCCCTTATATCAGCATGCGTGAGAATACTGAATGAACTTCTTTAATTTCTACTAGGCCATGATTATTTGGGGACAGAGATTATATATCATCTATTTATTCTAAGTTCCCAGGACTGTGTCTGAAGAATGGTAGAGGCCGAACAAATGTCACAAAATTATTCAATGGTAAATGACATTGCAATAAATCATGTCCAAAGCTAGAATTCAGAGGAATTTAAAAATCAATGACTCAAAATTCAGTGTAGTCAAAAATTGAAATATTAAGAGGAGAAAAATCTAGTAGAGTCACTTTCAGTCACATACGTGGGAGCATATTGGTATCTTAACTGTCTGGCTATCAACTCCCCAGTTCATAAGATAACAAAAATAAAATAAAATCTGAAATCTAGAGAGTTTGTGGCTGACTTAGCCCAGAGATCTCATACACCTACAATTTATTTTTATATAGAAAGAATTCCAAATCATCCCTCTAGTACAACCTGATTCTATCAGACTTAAATAAAGTTGTCCATTCTTTAAGAGTGTTTCACATATTCTGTCTTTCTAGACTCTGAGGTAGATTTCCATTTCCCAATAGCCCTGATGCTGATTTTAATGATTTTTTCCATGTGACAAACGTTTTTTGTTTCATTGCTATTAGTGAATGACAAGTGAAGGATATTGATTTCACATTGAAAATGTCAGGTATGCTCTTTAAGAGATATATTTTTTGCAGCTTTTAATGAGGTGGTGTTTCTTTTTCTTTCTTTTTGAAAGAAACACTCATCTCTGATGTGGATGCTGTGCAGGTGACAACTGATATTTAATAAGCGATGGTTCTTGTATTAGTCGCAGTTCACTAAAGAAAATGTCTCATATTGTTTTTGAGAAACTCTGAGCGTCACTAGCCCAAAGGCAAGATGTGACCTTTTTATTACATAATGAGAATCATTTATTATCTTACAATGTATCTTAAAGTCACAGACAAAATGCCACATTGATAATTGCTTTCAATTAGCTTTGAGCATAGCATATATTCATAAAATGTCTTCTCTAATTTAGAGTTGAATTAGAGAAAATTGCAGACATAATCTTCTTTAAGGTTGTCTCATTTAAGGTGATTCGTAGTTTTATATCAGAGAAATCAAAACGAGTAGCTTTAGAACAATCTCTCCAAGTGTTTTAAGGAGGCTTTTCAATATTTGATTCTATTCTATTACCAATTAATTAACAAATTAGAAAGCTAGTTCATCATTTATGACCTTTTATGCATGTTAACTTTTGACTTTCACTCTTAATGATTGTTTTAAAATTAAGCCTTGCAGTTCGTGTGGAAAGAGAGAAACAGCCTGATTAGCAAGATAAATAAGGTTTGCTTGATACTAAGTACATCTTAATGTTGGGCCATATCTGGAACTCTAAATCTTCTAATGACACATCTTTTTCTACTTTCAATAAATAAAACATAACTAATGGTCAAGAAATTAAATGATATAGTCATATAGCCTAAATAAAGAGTTTGGAGATATTATAATACTGTTAGAGATGTTAGCAATTACGTTATTAAAAAAGTGACCAGCTAAATTGTATTCTTGTTAATAATCTTAGCACTGGAATATTATTTAAATGCTTATCTTTATCTATCTTAAATTTTTTTAAATAGTGAAACTCTAAAGGTGTATCATAGTCATGTGGTTCACAAAATATTATTATTACTATTAACAAAGATTCTCAAAAATTGCTTTATAGCTGGAGATTACTCTTTTTCTCTCTGTCTTTTTCCTAGATAAAAATTACGCACAAGAACCAAGCCCCAATGTTGATGGGCCCTCCTCCAAAAACCGGGTTATTCTGCTCCCTGGTCAAAAGAACAAGAACCCGAAGCAAAGAATAATCCACCTCGTTTCATTCTTAGAAATCTGACTAGCGCAATTGGGCCATAGAACACTTGTGCTGAAAATCTTTGAACCATTTCAAGTCTCCTGCTCATGCAAAATCATGGAATTGGTTTAACAGTTTTGTTACTGAGCTGATGTGAAACTCAGCTATTAGAAAATTTATTGTCTCAGTTTCTATAGGCAGTTTGCATGAAGAAAGCAAAAGTTTACATGAAGTGATACTGCATATTTTTGTTGCATGCATTCGCATAGATTTTCATGTCTCCCACCAACATCTTACCCAGTTCCCATTTACTAAACTGTGAGAAAAACCTGGGAAACATAAAAAAGGAAATACCATGGGAAATGTGATTCTCAGTGTGATTCCAATTATAAATAAGCACTAATCAGTAATGCTACAATGATCATGATGGCCGATTGCTATACTTTTCCCTTTAAGAATCAGTCTATCAATGGTCTTTGATCTTTGACTCGAGGATGAACTTTTAACTCAAAGGTTTTATTAAACAGTTGTGTACAATACATTGCCATATATGAATAGTTTTTTTTCAACATCTAGATTCCTTTGAGTAGAAATTTAAATCCCAGATAGAAGACTGTACTGTGTTGAAAAATAGAAATGGTTTTTATTTTGTCAAGTTTGGTTTTTAATTCCAAAAAATTAGTGAAAATATGTTACTTGGCAGTTAAGTGTGATGTAAGACAAGCCTTATTCCGTTTTGCATGAGGATTTAGAAGGAAATTCACAATCATGCCAGTAACCAAATAGATGTTTTAAACTATGTGCCTAATTAATATGTTTCTCACCAAAGATTCAGAAAAAGATGCTTGAGAGAAATGGGTTAACGTATGTCTAATTAGTATCGTGGAAAAGATGTGTGAATCTTATGGTTAATTTTGTGACAATTAAAATGCTGGAAGACATTTACCTATTTATTATAATTCTCACATATCACAGAAAATGATTCATACAACACAATCCAAACTCAGTAGCTGATTGCTTGGAAATGTGATCCTCTTAAGTTGAGGTGTCTGTGATTTTTAGTGTATTGGTTAAAAAGTGTATCTGAAGAAAGTAAATGGTCCTATCAGTTTCATTCTAGTATAAATTAGTACCTGCAATAATTTGGAGTTTAGTGAGGGAAACCATGCATGAAGTTATCCCTACTGTTCACCTACTCCTCTCCCATTTCTATGACCTTTTGAATGTTTATTTTAAAATACAGATGATATGGCCTAGACCACTGTTTAAAGTGTTTATGGCATGGTTGGAATCTCTGATCATATAAAGAAATCACAGAATTACTACTTTTCCTAACATTTCATTAAGCCTATGGTATAAAATGAAATGCTTCTGAGAAGTCTTGGTATTGTTTGTTCATATTTACCTGCATCTCATAATTGCATGTTTTGTTTTCAAACATGCCATAAGGAAAACAAGTGCTTGAAATGCATGATTTATTAGTTTTCCTCTCCACTCTGCATTAAAGTGCCAATGATTTATCAGTTCTATTTTTCTATTGATTCTTTCATCTTTGAATAACAAATAGCATTTAGTGTTTCTGTTGAATGCAATCCTGTGCATGGATTTATGGATTTCAAGTGAAATTGCTATAATTTTAGTTCTTTGGTTTGAAAACTCAACTGAATGCTGTTATATAAAATAGCTACTCTCAAGCAATGTGCTGCAATGGAAGATCATGTGTAAAGCATATTCTTTTAGTGTTCCAAGAACATTGGATGGAAAATATCAATCAACAATAACTTTAATTGCTTTAAAAGTGAAAGCTTTTGAATAATATTAAGACATAATTTAGCATTCTCGGGGAATTATGATTACAATTGCTAATTCAGTACAGCAATCACTCAGTGTAGTACAATGACAATAAATAAAAAGTGATTTGGCAGAACACTAATTCAGACTAAAAGAAATCGCAAAACAGTAACAAGTGTATTGCTGACATAATGTTACATAACACAGGTTGATTTTGTATATCTATGGTTAGGCGGTAAATATTGTCACATGAATTGACAAAATTCTCCACAATGGACAGGGAGGCTTTGTGTCCAAAACATATTTTTAAGCCTCCAATTATTTGACATTCAGTACAACATGCAAGTATTTCTTGGCTACCTTTAACAGTATGTAGTTTGAAGGCAGCAACAATTTGTGAATCACGTTAGCAGTCTGTGCACTGGAAAGCATTAGGATAGATGATGAGATGAGAAAAATTAAGCAACCTGCCCGTACCACTTCAATAATTGAAATAGCGGGATGCAGCTTCACGTCAATGTAGCTATATAACTATAATTAGTGCTAATAGTAGTTACTCACATCTTCAGTCACTTGGATTCATTGGTATCACTAATAAATGTTCAAATATGAATCAAATTTGACTTTCCCCAGCTCATTTTCTAAAGATACTGACATGCTTGCCCTTCAAGTATACTACTCCCGGGATTTGGAAAGTAGTTCTTAAGAAACTACTTTGATAGTTTTGAAATCAGAGAAGATATTCTTTCCTTTTTTTATGACAGCTTCATGTGAAGAATATATATTTTAAGGAAATTTCTAAACGGAAAGTTCTATGGCATATTAAAATACTGAATAATGAATGTTAGCTTTATAAAATGGAAACTTTTCTTCTATGTGTGTGGGTGAGTGTTTAAGTTGTAGAATTAACCTCTTTTAAATATAGTAGACCCAGTGATATAAAGTTTTAAGTGGATGAAGATCTTAAGTATAAATTAACACTGGACTAACTTATGGGGGTCAGAGAAAAGGGACAAAAAGATATGTACTCTGCTAAACACTGCCATATACTGCTTGTGAATAGACATTTCATTATAATAAACCTAGATCCCCACACTATGAAGACATGGAATGGAGATCTCTATGTAAATCTCCAAATTTTAAAGATCATAATTGTATTTACCCACTTTGATGTCTATATAATGCATATTTCATATGGAAATTGCTGGTCAGTGTTCTGTGGTAGAAAGAAATAATCTCATAGGAAATAAAAAGGTAATATTGTAAAACAGTTTTATTTTTTAAAAAATTATATTGTGATAGCAGAATTTAAAAAAAGACAGATATTTAGATAGTATACTGCAGGAAGAAGTGAATATTCTGTGAGAATTAATAAATTATATATATGTTTCCACATTTTTTTCTATTTTCCTTTTTAAAAGGATGGGGAGCAATTATAAAAACAAAACGTTTTGAATTTGAGATTGTGTGCTGCTTGAATGAAGCAAAATTTTTAGATTGTTACTTTTTGTGTTAGAGTTAATTTGCTTAATATTAATTACTATGAATTATAAAATGGAAATGGAACTTTTGTATCACATGTGACACCCAAAGAATTGTTCAATACACACCATATGTTTTACATTTAAAAGTCTAACCCTTGTAACAGACCTGAAGGCTGTAAATTTAAGAAAAGAAATTAATAAATACCTATAAAAGAGCTTTAACTAAGGAAAAACGAATATAACCCCCTTAAAACATCCACTTAAATTTATTCTATTTAAATAAAGTTGGAAGAATCTCATATTTGAAAGTTTCTATAGATTCTTATTGTGTTTAAAATATAGCATTCATTTAATTACAGTATCCTAATTTTTTGAGAAAGTGTTATATACAGTATCCTGCTTTTTGAAATAAAAGTGTTAACTACTCAATAATGTGTCATTTCTTATTGGTGCTTGGGCCAGGATATCTCTGTTAATGAACTATTCCGCATTTCAACAGTTACTTTTCTTCAGTGAACACCCACTGGGAATTTTGAGCCAGCCACTCTATCCTACGTGTTTAAAACCTGAAACATTCACCTTCTGGGTCCTGTGTGTCACCAGTTGCTGCTGCAAATATTACTGTGGCAAATTCATAGACTGAAGGAAAGTCAAAAAATTAATGATGAAATTGTGGGAGCCGAGTTGAATATTTGGGATAAATTGGTATCCAGTTTTAAAATATGTAACCATCTTCCACAAACATCTCTTGGGCACTAAGTAAAAGATATTTATCAAAGGATCTGCAGCAAGTTTAAAAATAAAGAATTTAAAGGACACAATCTCTTCTTTGTATCTATTAGAAGAGTTAAGTATATCAACAAATGTATCGCATTACTGGGTCAGGTAAGAATTAAGGTAAGTAAAATGTGATATGTGTTCAAAGGAGGAAAAGATGATTTTGGTGGACCAAGTTCAAGGGCAACTAGAAAAAAGTAAATCTGCAAATGGCATTTTGAAAGTCTAGAATGTTATATGGAGAAAGAAATAGCGTTAAGGAAATTCAGAAGACAAGGAGACCCACAGAAATCAAGTCCTGGATGCATTCTTGAGCCACTTCATACAGTCATTAGTTATTCATAAATGGAGCTTTTGAACACCGAAAGTTAGCAGGAAAAGGAGCATAAGAAAATGGAGAGAAAAAAAGAATGAGACAGGGAAGCCAGTAAGTGAGGGACAGAAGAAAACAAAATGCAGCCAAGTCACCAAATCAGGATTAATGGAACTAAAATTAATTTCACACTCTGAAATTGATGAACACAGATTAATATAAGTCATAGGTATCCTGATTTGCAAAGCTTTGAAGCAGTATCTGCTCCAGGAAGTCATGATGCCATTCTGCTTTCGCTGTTTTAACAAAGGAAGTCAAAAGCATACACTGTAGCAAAGGCATTTTGTTTAATAAATGGTGCTAGGAAAATTAATGTCTATATGCAGAAGATTGAGGCTAAACCCTTATCTCTCACCATATACTAAACTAAAGTCACAATGGATCAAAGATTTAAATTTTGAAATAGAAACATTGAATCTGTTGGAAGATATAAGGTAAAATTCTTGAAAACATAGGCACCAGGCATAGGACAGAGTGCCAACCACACAAGAAGTAGCACCAAGAATCAGCAAATGAGATTAAGATCAAATTTTAAAGTGTGCACAATAAAGAAAACAACCACGAGAGTGAAGACACAGTCTATGGAATAGGGGAAAAATTGCCACTATTCCTCTGACAGAAGACTAACATCTGAAATATATAAAGAACTCAAAAATTAGACATCCCCCAAATAAAGTCTCAATTAAAATACGAGAAGTTGAAATAAACAGACACTTCTCAGAAGAAGTGCAAGCAACCAATAAATCCATGAAAAATATTTAATATCTCTGTGCTTCAAGTAAACACAAATTTAAACACTAAGATTCCATGTTATTCCAGAAAAAGTGGTTATGATCAAGAAGTCAGACAATAACCAATACTGATGAGGCTAAAAGAAAAAGTAGCCCTACTACAATACTGGTGGTAACGTAAGCTAGTACAACCATTACGGAAATCAATATGAAGAGTCCTCAAAAAAGTAGAACCAGAAATCCAATAGACCTAGCTATTCTCCTTCTAGTATCTTCCCAAAAGAGTTAAAGTCATTATATTACAGGGATTCATGGACACTCATAATATATTCATAATAGCTAAATAAATAACAATAATTACATATCATATAAAATATAATAATATAATAATTATAACAGCAAAATGGTGTAAAAGGACTATATGCCCATCTATAAATTAATGAAAAGAGAAAATGTGGTATTTATATATACATAGCATAGTATTACTCTGCTAGAAGGACAAACTTGAGTTTTTCATCGGCAAATAGATGTACCTTGAGACAATTATATCAAATGAAATACATCAGATACCTAAGGATAATTATCATATGGTTTCGGTTACATGAGAAGCCCAAATGATTAAAGAGCAAAATAACACAAGATAAGAAGTAGGGAGATCTTTTTCAAATGCGAAAGAGAACTAGAGACAGAGAGAGCAGAGGGGGAGGGGATGAAAACTAAAGAACTGAAAGAAAAAATGGAAATAGAGTTTTTGCAGATTGGAAAGGAACGGAGAGATGGAATGAGTATGGGAGCATAGGAAGGATGGGGGATGAAAAAATAGGCAGGAGCTGTGATGTACTTGCACCAACTTCCAAAACTAAATGTAATCATCGTGCACTCAAACATACTAAGAAAAAGAAAAAGGATCCATGTAGTTTTGTAAACTGCTCAAGACACCTAACTTGACAACACTACTTGGAAAATACGTACATGATAAATGTGAAAAACTTAAGAATTAAAAAGGTACATACAATGATACAAACTGGACGTTTGCAATAAAGCATGTCTTCCTGACAACTGAAAACTAGGGACGAGTCGTCAGCAAGCCCAAAAGTCTCCCCACTTTTATTCTGTTCTTCACAAACTTTTGTTTTTGCATTAAGTCAGTTGGTTTTAGGAAAAAATCTCTGATTAAAATTGTATTACCAGGGGCTGGGGATTTAGCTCAACGTCATAAGTGCCTGCCTTGCAAGCAGGCAGTCGTGAGTTCGATCCCTGGTACTGATAAAAAGGAAAAAGACAAAAAAAAAAAAAAAAAAAAAAAAAAAATTGTATTAGCAAATAACAACAAAAACTCTCCGTAAGTTACGAGAACCTTTAATTCAGTTAACTCCTGAAGCTCCATATGCAAGTCACTACTCTGGACAGGCTTCCCTCTTCCTCCCACACCACCACAGGGACTTAAGAGAGCTTCCCATCTTCCTGCTGTGCCACCGAGCCACCTGGGAGGGTTCTTGGGGACAATCATCAGAGTAGGTTCTGGTATGAACAGCCCACAGCTCCATAGCTCTCCCACACGCTAACCATCCTCCCTTTCCCCAGTCAAATATAACAGGGAAGACAGAAGAGCTTGCTTTCCAGCCAGCACGTCCCCCCTACCCTTCATTTTTATTTTCCACTATATCCTTTCCAAGGCTGCTGTGGAGTCTGCAGAGCTGATGCACTTCATGGACTGTTGTCTGTGAGAAATCAGAGAGGCTGCCAAAGTGGAGGTGTGGACTGATGAATGGCCATTTTACATAGGCAGCCATGAACCAAAGTTTCTCAGAAAAGAGGCTGCAGTGGACAGAGGAGACCAAAACAGTGCTGTGGAATGAGTTGCCCTTCCTTGGATGTTATCCTGCACTGTCTCTATGAATTGTTTCTCCATTAAGATGGATAAGGGTTATTAAATCCCTTTAAAATCTTACCCAGCACAGACATTACTAATCCACGCTCCATGTTTCTTTTTAATAGTGATTTGAGGCCATCTACATTAATGGTTAGAACTGGCAAGCACTGGCTCATCTTGCTGTGATATCCTCCTGCTTTGGCCCTGCACTTTTCCTCTCCATTCAATTCCCTGTCCTGTTCGGTGATCCCCTCTGCTGTAATTCTGGAACCATAGTCATTTTTATCTCTCTCTAGAATATCCTTCAGAACTCTGTGTTGGTTTGGTAGTCATGAAATCCTTCAATTGTTCTTTATCATGGAAGAATATCATGTTTTCTTCAGTTTTGAGAGATACTGTATGGTGCCATCAATCTGGGTTGGAAGTTGTTTTCATTCAGGATTTGAAACAATTCTTCAAGTTCTTCTTGTCTCCATGGTTTGTATTGAGAAGTCTGCTGTGATGCTGATGAGTTTTCCTTTATAGTTGATATGTTGCTTTTCTCTAACAAACTTTAATATCCTGTTCTTGTGCTGGATTTCTGGAATCTTTATTATTATATTTCTGGATGCAGATTTATTTTGATTATGGCTAATTGGAGTTTATATATGTTGCTTATATGGATGTCAGGTCCTTTTCCCATGTTTGGGTAGTTTTCTGTTATTGTTTCTGTAAATAGTCTTTTTATGTCATTTGTGTTAACTCCTGCATTTTCATTAACATCTATCAGTCGTAAATTATTTTTTTGCATCATCTTGCAGAAATTGAATTGTCATTTCCTTGTTTCTTGCTATTTTTAAGAGATCTTTACTTTCACAATTGCTAGATTCACTCCTATCTTCAAGGTCTAAAGGTCTATCTTTGGTCTCTCAAGCAGTTTTGCCAGCTTTTGATGGAGTTTTTAATTTCCTGGGTATCTCTTTGAATCTGCTCATGCGTAGTAATTCAGTGTTTCCCTCATTTTCCTATGCTCCTCTTTTTCATCTCTGTCTTCTTTAGATATGTTCAGCAGTTCTTTCATTATGTTTGTGATTTTTATTTTACCTGAGATACTATTTCTGATCTTATCTCTTTTACTACTCCCTGAAGCTGTTCCTTTACTTCAGTTGTGTCCTTTTAGAGATTTCAAGTGTGTGACTTCCATTTTATTCTATGTCCCCATCAGATTTGTTCTGTGTGGGTTGGAGGCCTGAGATTTTCTTTTGCTCCTTCATCTCGACATTTTCCTGAGTTCCTCCTGCCACACTGGTTGTGGGGTGCCAGGTGCTTCCTGTGTTGGCTCCCCCTCCATGGTGGGGAGGAATGGACTAGAACCTGAGTTTCTCTGAACTAAATGCCCCTGGGAGGCAGTGGGGTATGGGGTGGACTTCTTCAGACCTGCACAGCTACACTGAGTCTTCCTTGATGGCCAAGGCTATGTGGTGACAGCTCTGCTTCTTCTCTCAGGCTGTATGACTACCCTGGGACTCCTCCAATGGCAGCAGGCTCACAGGGGTGTTTGTCTGATT